AATGTACAACATTTAAAGTAAAATATACACATTTATTTGCATACAAAAAGAAAGACATAAATCAAAGATATAACCTTAATTAAGGCTTATTATGTTTAATTTTTACATTTAATCATAGAGTTGTATTCATCACTAGGAGTAGTGCATTGGTTAACTGAATTTTAGCTCAACTTTTCAAAACTTTAACCGTTAATAGAATCAAAACTTTTATTATCAAATTAACCGAAATTTTTTAGCTAAAATTTTAAATTATTTAAAGGGAAAATGGCACTTTTTCCCCCTATGTTATATACTTATAGCACTTTTTCCCCCTCAATTATTTATGTAAGCACATTAGCCCCCTCAATTATTTTAAAAGTGGTGGTTTTCCCCCCTAATATATTAAATTGACATTTCTACCCTTAAAGTAAACATTTTATTTATTTTACTTCTCCAACAAATTATTGCGTATATGTAGCTATTACCACGGTTCGGTTCGAACTGAACCAGACACTATAGCAATCGAATTAAAACTTTTCAGTTATGATTCAGATATAGAACCCAATATTTGGATTTCAATTTATTAAATTTAAGAATAAAAAAAATTGGATCATGAACCGGCGGTTCCGGATCCCGTTCGCGATTTTGAACTGCCTATATTTTAAAATTTTATTTTTTATTTTAAAATAGTTTAAATTCAACAATAAATGTATTTTATTTTTTCAGTTCAGAACATGAACCAGCCATTCCAGTTCGCGATTTTAATAAACTCTAAATATCGCGTTTTGATTATAAATTGTAATTGGAATATTTTGGTTTGGTTACTATAGTATCTGGTTTGAACCAAATTATAGTAATAATTTATTGGAGAATAAAAATAAATGAAATATTTATTTTAAGGGTAAATATGTCCATTTAACATTTCAGGGGGAAAAAGAGCCACTTAAATAATTGAGGGGGAAAAAATGCTATAAGTATATAACATAGGGGGAAAAAGTGTCATTTTCCCTTATTTAAATAATAAATAAAAATTAATATTAGCAATTACATCAATACCTATAATAATAAACAAAAACAATACAATAACAACATTACAAATATACCAGCACAACTTTTACGTACACCATTATATTATTGGTGAGTTGCGAGTGTTTCGTCTGCTTCAACTGCCGTCTGTATAGATTACAGATTTGAGCTACTGTTCCTTTAATTTGCTTTTTGTGTTAATTCGTTAGCGATGAATATACACAGACACAACTCCACAAGTAATAAAATAATACTGTTAAATTTGAGCGATAAAGACAGAAAGAAAGAAAAATGAATACTGATGAGAAGTGGAGTACAAAAGAAAGTGCAAAATAATGGCGGGAGACGCTCTTTTTAACTTCTTATCCGTCTCATTTAAGTTTGTGATTAAATTTTTTTAATATTTAATTTAGTATTAATGTATATAAAATTTGTTTACATAGAAATTATATTAAATTAAAATTACTATTAAAACAAAAAGAATCAATTTAAAATTTATTAAAATTGTTTAAAACAAATAATGTAAAAAAAGTTGATCGACCAATTAATTAATACACTATCTGTCTCATTTTATGTTACTAATTTAGCTAACGAGATTTTACTAAAATTATTTACAATTTAATTTTTTATAATATTAAATTTAGTATTTGCATATAAAATTTATATACTCAGAAATTGTAGTAAAATTACAATCAAACACCAAAAAAATTTAAATAAAATAAGCAAATAAGACGGAGTTTGTTTGACAAATAATTAGTAAACATGACATATAAAATGGGATAGAAGGAGTAGTAAACCTGGAATGTAGAAATGAGACCAAATATTTTGGACTGAAAATTGTAAACTCATTTCTCAAATATGGGTATTTTTCATCACGCCAACACCTCATTGCTATATCATTCAGGCTTTGTTTGGTAAGTCAAGTTGAAGTAGTAGCGATTAGATTGGAGCGATAGTGGTTTGAGTAGTTTTTCGAAAGCCATCAACTCAAATTCATTAAAATAACCCCGAAATGCACTTAGGAGTGGCCAAAAGTCACTCTCCAAGGACAGAGGATGAACCAGCCACCCTCGCTAGCGTGTGAGTGATCTGATTCATTGATCTTCTGACATGACGAACCAAAACGTTGCCAATGTCAAATGCAGTCATACAACACTGCTTTACTACAGAACCAATATAAGAGTAATCAAGTCTAGAAGAATGAAAAATATTACAGAAGTTTAAATAATCTGACTGAACTACATAATTATTTGCCTGGTGATTCTTTATCCACGTAAGAGCTTCCTTGACCGCCAAAGTCTCCCCAGGTATGGGTTGGAGTAGTTAAAACTATGAAAAAAGTACTAAAAACTACTGCTGCAATGTGATTGAAATGTTAGAATGACATATAAAGACATTTATTTAAAATATATAAATAATAATTTTAATGTTAATTTACTTATATGAAATAATAATATTAATAATAACAACTATTACTAGTGAAGTTTGCTTTGTTTAAAATTAAGATTTCGATATCACATTGACATAGAAATTTAATTAAAATATAATCAATCATTAAATTAATTATATAATGATTTTAATAAAATGGTAATTAAAGAATATGAAAAAGATAGGATAGATTTAAGTGTATGATAATAATGATGGAGTTATCAATGTTAGAATTAAAAAGTAACAGTTTTATAACGGTGTAAGGGTAGTTTTGTCTAACAAGAATGTAGTAGGGGCAATTTTGTCTAATAATATTGAAGTGTACAACATTTAAAGTAAAATGTATACATTTATTAGCATACAAAAAGAGAGACATAAATCAAGGATATAACCTTGATTGAAACTTATTATTTAAAAATATTTCTTTTGAAAAGGCCTAAAAAAATGAATTACTCTTTGATGGTTTTGTCATAATCGGCCACCATAAACCGATTAGGGAAGTACAGAACAGGCAAATTATGCCCTGGAAACGTGTTCACCGTGAATGGTAAACACAAGTCCAAACGACGTCGTTTTTACGCAAAAAAATAAAATAAAATAAAAAATCGCGGATGTGGAGTTAACGGCACGCGTTTGATCAAATTATGAATTTTCTGTTATGAGATTATGAATGTAACGAAAATTCATAATCTCATAACAGAAAATTTATAATCGCATAAAAGTAAAATATTTATTAAATTATGAATTTTCTGTTATGAGATTATGAATTTTCTGTTATGAGATTATGAATGTAATGTAGATTCATAATCTCATAACAGAAAATTCATAATTTCATAACAGAAAATTCATAATCTCATAACAGAAAATTCATAATCTCATAACTGAAAATTCATAATCTTATAACAGAAAATTCATAATCTCATGGTCCCAAAGTGAATGTGTAGGCATGGTTCCAAAGTGAATGTGCAGGGATTCATAATTTATGAATGTCCGTGATTTTGGACAGGAATGTGTAGGCATGGTTCCAAAGTGAATGTGCAGGCATGAATTCATAATTTATGAATGTACGAAATCATTGTTCACCTCAAATTAAAGTGAAACCGCAAAATGTGAAAATGAAGAAGAAAAGTCACGCAATTAATTAAGAAGAAGAAAAAAAAAAAAAAGATAACGGTGTACTAACACCATTGGAACCGTGTTCACCATGAATGGTGAACACGGTTCCATGGCATAACGATTATACAGAACATGGGTAGGAAAATAGTAGTATTATTGCTCGAGACACTAGGTCCAAAAGAATGCATACCAAGCCCAAGATACTGCCCCAAAATGGCAGCCCAAAAAATAAATAAATAGCGCACTAAGAATAATAATGTTGCTACTAAGAATCTAACCTTGATGTATGAGATGACCTTTTTGTTAATCTTTCGTTTCAAAATGTATGTATTCCATGATATTATCAAGACCATGCAAAAATGTTGGGAATAGTAATATTTAGTGACGAAAACATAACTTCGTTAGTAATACCTTTCCATACACCGCTAACTCGACGGTCTGGGAGACGTTTTTATTTCGTCGGTAAATACATTTACTAACGTTTTTTTTTTTTTTTAAATTTGTGACGCTTAAAAAATGTCACTAAATGTTAACATTCTAGTAGTGTCTTAAGGGAGACAAAGCACTCTATTTATATTGTTGAACACCTTCTGGATGGTTGACAAATTTACGACATCGGCTTGCCTTCAATATTGGTAATACACGTGTCCATGTATGCCTCGTGTCTTCACTCACGTCTCCAGCTTCCCACCCACCTTCTCTACCACCCCATGCCTTGGGGGCGCCAATGGTGCGTCAGGGGTGCTTGGCCCCACTAGCTACGTCACGCCACGGAGAGTCCGGTGGGCTAACTTTGTCGGCCATGTGCAATCCAGTAGGGGGGCTGATCACCACCCCTTCCATGCCTTCACGCCACAACCACAAATTTGCACCAGTCCAAACCATCATCCCCGCCATTGGTGCTCTAGTGGGTGCTTGGACCCCGCTAGCCGCACCATGTCATGGAGAGTCTGATGGACTAACCTAGTTAGTCATGCGCTAGTCAACAGGGCCAATCATTACCCCTCCATGTACTTACATACCTTCAATATTACACCTCACCTCAAGTGGGAGCGCATTAGGCCCGTTGGGAGCGTCATAGTTGGAGGTGGCCGGCGGGCCACGCCTCTAGCCAGTCGCCGGCCAGCTAATGGTCAGTAATGACCAATTATTAATGCTGCTAGCCCACAAAAATAGGAACAAATATAAAGTGTTGCGCTTTAATAAACAAAGAGATTGAGCAGTGGGCTGGGATATGCATGCCATGCTGGAGGAACTGGGATCGATTTGGTGTGCCATGCTCTTTTTTAAATTTCAAACTACTTCTAGTTTATTGATTAAAGCAAATCTAAATATAGTCATTGACTAACATTACTAAGTTCTGCTCTTTTTAAAATTTTGTTATTCCAACATTTAACAAGAGCTCTTCTTAGCTTCAACCCTACGATGAAATCATAAATTCCCTATGATATGATTATCATCAAGATCGATCACTCTTCATCAAGAATTTGGTATTGTGAACCATCCCCAGTTGCTGCTGCAGACTCTAATGCCTTCTCTCTGTCAAACCATGAACACAACATTCATACAAGTATTAATGAAGAAACCAAAGCTGATCGAACCTGCGAAAAATATGACAAAATGATGGCTTACTACATACGTTTTTGAGTACACAACAAGCCCGATACCAACTAGTCCGAACGCTACATAGTATAACCAATCCACCTGCAGTTCAGAGCCAGTCATAGTTAGAACTATATATCTACATTGAACATCATATCAAATCAGAGAATGTTAAACAGTTATATATATTGATTGATTGCCTCTTGTTGGTAGAAGAAAATTCGGATGACAACTGCCCACATATCAGACGTTAGAAGGGATAGATTGAACAGTGTGGCTCCGCTCATCTGTATCACAACATAAGTAACACTCAATGTGTTCTGTTCCGTTTTAACTAAAAGTTTAAACTGATAATTATATGCTTATCGTATTGGAAATGGGATCCGGTAGAAAATACGGATGAGCTCAAGATTCACCTTTAGAAGAACAGGAACAAATGTGTAGAACAGAAAGCCTGCAAAAGCAAAACCCGCAAATGCAAGAATCTGGGCAAAAAAAAAGAGGGCTGTTAGATGGGAAAAGACAGCATAGCTAGTTAAAACAGCAGATTCCGGTGCTCTTACAATTTCAGGAGACCATTTCACTGATGCAAGACCCTTCGTTTCCAAGATAGCTCTAAGAGATTATAGTTGAGAAGATCGAAACAATCGACTTAGCTTGATACTTAAATTACGCTATGGAAATATATAATGAAAAGGATACATCTCACAAATGCTCACAAGCAACCCGGAGATAGCAATCATTGTGATTACTTCAACACGGTCTTTATTCTTTACACAAATTTCCTGTATGAGATGATCTTTTATTATGACGAAATTTAGTTTAGAATTCACACCAAGCAAGAGTAGCAGCTAGAGGGGCTTAAAAGACAATTATAAGGAGAGGAATTCACTTATTCACCAACCTCACCAACATTGCTCACTGCATAGAAAAGCGTTCCCATGATTACAAACGTATCTCCCAGAAGAGGTTTTGATCCACCTGAAATACATGCAGTTACAAGTATTACAATTAAGGAAAAATCTCGGAGTTGGGAATAATTACAGATTTTCTTTCCTTGATTTGTGAATCGTGTTATAGTTATAAGCATACTATGCATAAATTTACACCAAGTCATGAGAGCAAGAAACATGACCTCCACCGCCTACCCCAGCGTCCGAGAGGAGAACTAGTCCAAGCCCTGCCACACAGACAGCAGCACCAAAGAACTGCCATAGGGAATATCGAGTTCCCAGGAAATACCATGTCAGCAATATAACCCAGGCGATTGTCCAACAATCCAGAATCGTAACACTTGTAATCGACGAATATTGGAACGCTTGGTTAACTGCAACAAATATTTGGAAATCAATATCCAACACTCTGATATGATGCAGAACAAACTAAAACCAATACAACACATTAAAAGAGCAAGACTCTAGGCCATACATGATACATCATACCATTGATTTATAGGGAACTTATTAAAGTTCATTTTAAGCATTGCAACTATCTATCCTACATGTAGGCCGGGCTTACCTAGAAAATTGCCTTGGACATCAGCAAATCCTATGAGAAGATACCAATACCAAGGAACCTGCAAGCTCAACAACATATCTACTCACAATTACTAACTTAGTATGTCCTTTTGAAATAAATTTTTCCCATCAACCCCAAGAGCCCCACACTCCAGCCCCACAGAACATCTGGGATGATGTAAATCATGGTAACTCAGTTGAACCTTTGTTTACTGGGCACAAGGAGCCCCACACTGCGGCCAGTGAGACTCGATCCCGGGTCATTGTTTCAAAATTTCACCTTGTGACCAACGGAGCTGCCCATGCGGGCTTCCTTCTGAAATAAATTGACATCCTAGCTAGAATCCTAAGCCTAATGTTTCTTAAAATTTCAAAGATCCCAACTTAAACTATCAAATTCTGCAAATTAAAAATGAAATCACCAACATAGTCCAACAACCTGATTAAAGAGGAAAGCTGCTGCGGGCATACCTGTAGTTTCTGGCGCCGGTAAATAAAGATGCTTCCGTATACCAGAGACAACGCCAAGTAAACGAAGAATGACAAAGTAAGTGGAGTATCCACTCCTTAAAAATCATAGAGAAAATTGTATTCAAAACAAAAAAATCTAAATTCAAAATCTGTTAGCAAATATCAAGAAATTAATAAGAAGATTTAATTAGTTACCAATACTGGCTAACAGAGAAGAAGTGAAGCTCATGAGTGACCTCACAAACGAAATGACCTGGCCGAGGAAGAGAAGGTACAAGGTCCTTCCAATGTCGTTTCCATGGCTTCCCCACCACCCGTTAACATTCATGGCGGCCTGCTATGGGCTATGGCGGAAGAACTTCAAATAAAATCTTAAAGAATTACTCCAATAAGAATGAATTCAAATCTGAAAGTTATTTGTCAAGTTTATTTAATTTATATGTGTGTAATCTGAATGTTTTGTCTGCTTCAGCTACCGTCTGTATCACAATCTCAGCTACCGTTCCTTGGCTTTTCCGTATATTCCTCAGCTTTACGTTGAATATACACACAAGCTAATAACAACAGGTTTTGTCATATTTTGTCCAAAATTTTTAAATTAATCACTTATAATCCTTCAATTATTAAATGATTATCATTTATGATTCAACTTTAAAAATTTAACTAGTCGTGCTTCTTCTGAAATGACCATAAATAATTAAATTGATAGTTAATACGATTAATTACCGTGCATGTATAATGTATATTGTATGTATGAACAATAAAGTAGTCGAGAGAAGAGGGAGCAAGATGAACTTCTTTTATTCATTGTATAACTTAGAAGGTTTGTAGAGAGAGGGAGAGTGCAATTTTGAAAGGGAGTGGAGAGGGGAAGACCCCCAAAATAAAAGGTCAAAGGCCCTTATAATGGTCTAAAGGTTGACCCATTACCTTTGACTTGTTGACCCGAATCGTTCGACCTCGATCCGATTATAAAATGAGGACACAGACATATAGGGAAGTCATACTGGGGAATATTCTCCATCAATAGTTTAAGGACCATGATTGATTAATTTGGATCACGAATGATCAATTCAAAATTTTAAGATTAAACGTGACAAAATTACTATATTCGGAGGATATCATATGACAATAACTCTCTTAATAAATATAATACTGTTAAACTTGAGGATTAAAGAAAGAAAAAACAAAATGAATATTGCCGGAAACTTACCGTGATTATTAACTAAACATGATACAAACGTCAATAACTTTGTAGTCTAATGACACAAAATTGTACTTTCATATTATACTGCATTGTAATAGAGTCAGTACATAATAGTACTCAAAAAACATGGTACAAACAAGAAAACCTTTAGGTATGGGAATTTGCACCAATTAATTACTCGATCGGTCATATTCTTTAGGCTTAATTCAATTCTTTTAGGAATAAGGTTCAAATTGGCCACTGAACGTAACCTGAAAATGCAATTAGGCCACTGAACGAAAAAAAAGATGCAATTAGACCACTGAACACCCAAAAAGTGCAATTAGGCCACTGAACACTCTAAATGTATGCAATTTCGCCGGATAGCAGGTTACCATCAATTTTAGCAGGTTACCTGCTTACGTGGCAGCTGAGTTGGCATTTTTAATATTTTTTAAATAATTTTTAATAACTTTTAATAATAAATTTTTTAAGAGAAAATTGAAAAAATAAATAAATAAATTTTAAAAAATTGTTTTAAATACTTTTAAAAAAAAAAAAACTTTATTATGGAGTATTAAACTTTATTAAAAATCATTTAAAAATTATTAAAAATGCAACTCAGCTGCCACGTAAGGAGGTAACCTGTTATAAGGTAAAATTACATACATTTGAATGTTCAGTGACTTAATTGCATTTTTTTTGTTTAGTAGCCTAATTACATTTTCAGATTATGTTCCGTGACCAATTTGAACCTTATTCCATTCTTTTAAAACGTAGAACAAGAAGTAGAGAAGAATAGAAGGGGCTGGGGAGTGGAAAGTGAAACGTGCTAAAACATTGCACGGAAGCGGAGGATGGGAGTTGGCACGTGGAGGCGAAGTTCTCTACATAGATAGATAAAATCCAGGCAAACTAACATTATTAGTCCCAATACGGGTAATTGCCTAATTGGGGCAGGTATGAGGTTTTTTGTATTTTTTTGCTTCATGTGGTACTAATAATGTTTTTTTTAGTTCTGCTAACTCTATTATAATATAATATATGTTCGTAACCGTACAAAGAGTAAATATCATTCACAGGTGAGGCTCAAACCCATGATTCTTGTTTAGGAGAGTCATTTTATGCCAATAGACCATAAGATCATTAGCGGTACTAACAATGTTGATCCGCAATTTTCAGAACTTGTATAATTGGTCCACATATATCAATTTTCTAAAGTAAATGGTCATTCCAGTGAAATCTCCACAAAAGGAAAAAATCATTATACCCCTACTATAAAAGGAAAATAATTTTTTGGTGAAAAATGATGCGTCAGGGGTGCTTGGCCCCCGCAAGCCACACCCACACCACAGGGAGTTTGGTGGGCTAACCTTGTTGGCCATGTGACATTTAGTAGGGATCGATCACCACCCCTCAATGCCTTCATGCCACAATCACGAATCTGCACCAGCCCAAACCACCACCCCCGCTAGTGGAGGCGCCACTGGTGCTCTAGTGGGTACTTGGACCCCGCTAGCCACGCTACGTCATGGGGAGTCCGATGAGCAAACCTGGCCATGCACTAACCGGCAGGGCCGATCACCATCCCTTTCATGTACATACATACCTTCAATATTACGCCCCACCTCAAGTGGGGGCGTCGTTGTCGTGTCCGTAGCCGCACTAGTCCTGCTAGGGGCGCCATAGCCAAAGGTGGCCAACCGGCCAATAAGAATTGTATTAATAAAAGCAAATTTACTTATAGTCATTGACTATTGTAACATTATTACATCTAATTTTGCTCTTTTGTTATTCTAACATTTAATAACAGCTCTTCTTAGCTTCAACCCTACGATGAATTCATAAATTCCCTATGATATGATCATCATCAAGATCGATCACCCACATCATCGTTTCTTGCATCTCTGCACTCTTCATCAAGAATTTGGTATTGTGAACCATCCCCAGTTTCTGGTGCAGAATCTAATACCTTCTCTCTGTCAAACCATGAACACAACATTCATACAAGTATTAATGAAGAAACCAAAGCTGATCGAACCTGCGAAAAATATGACAAAATGATGGCTTACTACATACGTTTTTGAGTACACAACAAGCCCGATACCAACTAGGCCGAACGCTACATAGTATAACCAATCCACCTGCACTTCAGAGCCAGTCATAGTTAGAACTATATATATCTACATTGAACATCATATCCTATCGAAGAATGTTAAACAGTTATATATATATATATTGATTGCCTCTTGTTGGTAGAAGAAAATTCGGATGACAACTGCCCACATATCAGACGTTAGAAGGGAGAGATTGAACAGCGTGGCTCCACTCATCTGTATCACATCATAAGTAACACTCAATATGTTCCGTTTTAACTAAAAATTTAAACTGATAATTATATGCTTATCATATTGGAAATGAGATCGGGTAGAAAACACGGATGAGCTCAAGATTCACCTTTAGAAGAATTGGAACAAATGTGTAGAACAGAAAGCCTGCAAAAGCAAAACCCGCAAATGCCAGAATCTGGGCAAAAAAAGAGGGCTTTTAGATGGGAAAAGACAGCATAGTTAGTTAAAACAGCAGATTTGGGTGCTCTTACAATTTCAGGAGACCATTTCACTGATGCAAGACCCTTCGTTTCCAAGATAGCTCTAAGATATTATTGTTGAGAAGATCGAAACAATCGACTTGATACTTAAATTACGCTATGGAAATATATAATGAAAAGGATACATCTCACAAATGCTCACAAGCAACCCGGAGATAGCCATCATTGTGATTACTTCAACACGGTCTTTCTTCTTTACACAAATTTCCTGTATCAGATAGTTGAAAGACGATCTTTTATTCTGACAAAAGTTAGTTTAGAATTCACACCAAGCAAGAGTACCATTATAAGGAGAGGAATTCACCAACCTCACCAACATTGCTCAATGCAAAGAAAAGCGTTCCCATGATTACAAACGTATCTCCCAGAAGAGGTCTTGATCCACCTGAAATACATGCAGTTACAAGTATTACAATTAAGGAAATATCTCGGATTTGGGAATAACTACAGATTTTCTTTCCTTGATTTGTGAATCGTGTGATAGTTATAAGCTAGGCATAAATTTACAGTACACCCAGTGGTGAGAGCAAGAAACATGACCTCCACCGCCTACCCCAGCGTCCGAGAGGAGAACTAGTCCAAGCCCTGCCACACAGACAGCAGCACCAAAGAACTGCCATAGGGAATATCGAGTTCCCAGGAAATACCATGTCAGCAGTATCACCCAAGCGATTGTCCAACAATCCAGAATCGTAACACTTGTAATCGATGAATATTGGAACGCTTGGTTAACTGCAACAAATATTTAATTTGGAAATCAATATCCAACACTCTGATATGATGCAGAACAAAATAAAATTAAAAGAGCAAGACTCTAGGCCACACATCATACCATTGATTTATAGGGAACTTATTAAAGTTCATTTTAAGCATTGCAACTATCTCTCCTACATGTAGGGCTTACCTAGAAAATTGCCTTGGACATCAGCAAATCCTATGAGAAGATACCAATACCAAGGAACCTGCAAGCTCAACAACATATCTACTCACAATTACTAACTTAGTATGTCCTTTTGAAATAAATTGTTCCAAAAAAAGGTTGAATTCCCAACCCGGTCTGGCAGAGCATTTGGGAGGATGTAAATCATGGTAACTCAGCTTAGCACAGAAGCTAGACCTTCCTTTGCTTACTGGGCTCCTCATTTTGAGAAGTTGTTCCCACACTGGCACTGGTGAGACTCGATCCCGGGTCATTATTCTAAAATTTCACCCCGTGACCAACTGAACTGCCCATGCAGGCTTCCTTTTGAAATAAATTGACATCCTAGCTAGAATCCTAAGCCTAATGTTTCTTAGAATCTCAAAGATCCCAATTTAAACTATCACCAACATAGTCCAACAACCTTAAAGAGGAAAGCTGCTGCATATACCTGTAGTTTCTGGCGCCGGTAAATAAAGATGCTTCCGTATACCAGAGTCAACGCCAAGTAAATGAAGAATGACAAAGTAAGTGGAGTATCCACTCCTAAAAAATCATAGAGAAAATTGTATTAAAAACAACAAAATCTGTTAGCAAATATCAAGAAATTAATAAGAAGATTTAAGTTACCAAGACTGGCTAACAGAGAAGAAGTGAAGCTCATGAGTGACATCACAAACGAAATGACCTGGCCGAGGAAGAGAAGGTACAAGGTCCTTCCAATGTCGTTTCCATGGGTTCCCCACCACCCGTTAACATTCATGGCTGGAAGCTATGGGCTATGGCGGAAGAACTTCCAAGAATAAAACCTTAAAGAATTACTCCAATAAGAAGGAATTGGGATCTGAAAGTTAGTTGTGAAGTTTATTTAATATATAGAAGCTAAGCATGTGTGTAATCTGAATGTTTTGTCTGCTTCAGCTAACGTCTGTATCACAGATCTCAGCTACCGTTCCTTGGCTTTTCCGTATATTCGTCAGCTTTACGTTGAATATACACACAAGCTAGTATACTCGCTAATAACAACTAGTTTTGTCATATTTAGTATCCTTCAATTATTAAATGGTTACCATTTGTGGTTCAACTTTCAAAATTTAACCAATCATGGTTCTTCTGGTATGTAAAAGAGTAAATACCTAAAATGGTCCTTCGACTATAGTTAAATTCACAAATTGGTCATCGACTTTCAATTTTAACCAATTAAGTCCTTAACTTTGCAATTTTGACACGATTTGGTCATCCATCTATTTGACCATTTGTTGACCGTGATCGACGATCTCCATAAGAACCTTCAGCTCTCGTCGGAGCATGTGGAGGCTTCCAGGATGACGTTGCACCGGTTCGGAAACACGTCGTCTTCTTCGCTCTGGTACGAACTCAACTACATTGAATCTAAAGGGAGGATGAAGAAAGGCGACCGGATTTGGTAGATTGCTTTCGGCAGTGGATTCAAATGTAACAGTGTGGTCTGAAAATGCAATCGGACCTTAAAAACCCGACGATGAACCATGAAATTACATATATATCCTCAAAAATCACAATCAACAATAGTTCAAATAGACAGAGGATCAAATTGTGTTAAAATTGTAAAGTTAAGGACTTAATTGGTTGAAATTGAAAGTCAAGGACCAATTTGTAAATTTAGTTATAGTCGAGGGACCATTTTAGGTATTTACTCTATGTAAAATGTATTTTGTATGTATGAATAATAAAGTAGTAGAGAAAAAATGGAGCAAGATGAACTTCTTTTATTCATTGTATAACTTAGAAAGTTTGTAGAGAAAGCAATGTTGAAAAAATCGCTAGGCGCCTGGGGACCGCCTAGGGCGCCTAGGCGCAATTTTTGTAATAGTGAGAGAGAGGGAGAGTGCAGTTTTGAGAGGGAGTAGAGAGGGAAAGGACCCCCAAAATGAAGGATCAATGGTCCTTATATAGGTCCAAAGGTTGACCCGCTAACTTTGACTTGCTGACCCGGACCGTTCAATTCCGACCCGACTACAAAACGAGGACATGGACGTATAGGGAAGTCATATCAGGAAATATTCTCAATCAATAGTTTAAGGATCATGATTGATTAATTTGAATCACGGATGATCAACTCAAAAGTTTAAGATTAAACGTGACAAAATAACTATATTCGGAATATCTCATATGACAATAACTCCCTTAATAAATATAATAATGTTAAACTTGAGGATTAAAGAAAGAAAAAACAAAATGAATATTGCCGGAGACTTACCGTGATTATTAACTAGACATGGTACAAATGTCAATAACTTTGTGGTTTAATGACATCAAATTGTACTTTTATATTATACTGCATTGTAATAGAGTTAGTACTTAGTAGTACTCAAAAAAACATGGTACAAACAAGAAAACCTCTAGGTACGAGAATTTGCACCAATTACTCGATCGGTCATATTCTTTGGGCTTAATTCAATTCTTTTGAAACGGTAGAACAAGAAGTAGAGAAGAATAGAAGGGGTTGGGGAGTGGAAAGTGAAACGTGCATCCAGTGCTAAAACATTGCACGGAAGCGGAGGATGGGAGTTGGCACGTGCCACGTGGACACGAAGTTCTCCACATAGATAGATAAAATCCAGGCAAACTAACATTATTAGTCCCCCAATACGGTAATTGCCTAATTGGTGTAGGTTTGAGGTTTTTTGTATTTTTTGCTTTACGACTATTGTACTACTAATAATGTTTTTTTCTTTAGTTCTACTAATTCTGTTACAATATAGTATCTGTTTATAGTTATTTTTTCAATTTATTAAAGTACAAAGAGTTAATATCGCACTCACTGAGACTCAAACTCATAACCTTCCATTTAAGAGAGTCACTTAATGTCAATAGACCACAAAGGTCATTGGCGGTACTAACAATGTTGATCCACAAATTTTAAAACTGGTATAATTGGTCCACAAGTATCAATTTCTTAGTGCAAATGGTCATTCCAGTGAAATCTCCACAAAAGGAAAAGATCATTATACCCCTATTCTAAAGGGGAAATAATTTTTTTGGTGAAAAATTGAAGGAGATTTCACTGGAAAGACTATTTGTGTTAAAAAATTGATACTCGTGAACCAATTATGCAAGTTTGAAAAGTAGTGAATCAACGTAACATTGTTAGTGTCATAATATCATTGAACCAAAAGTGTGAAAAACTCGTATATGTTTGTATGTTAGAAACCAATCATCTCTAACCCAAATCACTAAATTTTACATTGAAGAAAATATTCTCTAAAGATTTTTATACTAGAAATTTTTCATTACCAATCTATTTACACCAAATTATATTCATACACTAAAATAATTTTGTAATCTTATAATTTAAAACTTCAATTTTTTTTTACTTTAATTATTTTAATATAAAATATGATTTGGATATAAATAATAATATTTTAAAATGAAATTTATGTTTTTATGTGTTTGAATTTTTAATTAATTCAATATTGATATTGTTTTAAATGACTCAATGAATAATTGGCAAAAAGATTTTAAAAAGTTTTACACCATTTTGGTACAATCATTATTACGTGAACTGTAGTCCACGGTCTATGGATTGTGTTTGTTGGATGTAGTTGCTATTCAATTGCAGCCTAATTCTTTGGCCACTTAAATTACAGTGTTTGGTTGGAGATAATTGCAATTCTACCGAATTGTAATTTCTCATTTTGTTGAATTGCAATTCATACCCTCCCCCATATTAATTGCAATTCAATCGTGAAAGGAAAGGGAAAATGGAGGAAAATGAATTTTTTTATTTTGATTATTATTAGCACTAGTAAGTTCCCAATGCGACGCAAGGTCATTAAATATGGCCTGTTAAAAATTTAAGATTATCGTATAATCTTCTTACTCTATATAATAGCAAACTGTTTTTTAATAATTCAACATTTGAATCGGAAACACTTAATCACAACTCAAATATGTTATACCTTCGGATTCATTCATTCCATTCAAGGCCTATTCCGCGAAAGTGTTGTTCGTATGTAAGTCTGACAACCTAGTAATTGCACCCGTGCGATGCACGAACATATGATATAGTAGTAAGATTAACAGTACTGATAAAAAAAATACTATAATAGTATATGAATTAATTATTGAAAAACGAAGAACATTGCAATTGTATTACACATTATTGAAAATTTCTTTGTATACGATATTTTTAGTCGTACTTACAGATGGTATATTATCCCCACATATCAAAATTTTTAATCGCTTAAGGATTACTAACTCTTGAGACTGCAAATGATACATTTGACCATGATTAAAGATTGGCTTTCTAAAAAACAAATCCATGTGTGATAATGTTTGCCTTTGACTTTTATTTATTGTCATGGCATATGATAGCATCAAAATGAATTCTTTCTTTGAAACTTGAAAGGCAATCTTGAATCAAAAGGTGTTAACGACATTCGAGAAATTGAAATCTTTGTTCCTACATTCGTTCCACACATGATTTGAGCTTCCAAACATAATCAGCCAACTTTGTAACAATAAGTCTTGTACACTAGTACAGAAACAGTCATTCGCGTCTAAAGTTAAGGCTAATTCGCGTCCAAAGTAGCTGGGACGCAGATGTCGGGGACGCTGATTGTATAAACAATCAGCGTCCAAAGTAGCTTTGGACGTGCAAAATGATTATTCGCGTCCAAAGTTGAAGAACTTTGGACGCGTATAGTGTTTATTTATTTTTTTAAAAAAATACTATATGCGTCCGAAGTTTCTGAACTTTGAACGCGTATAGTAAAAAAAAATTAAAAAAAAAACATTTTTTTTATAAAACAACCAATATTTTCCTGTACATCCCAGCATAACTACCAAATAATATATTTCAACATTAATCAATTTAAGATGTATACTACACACCAATTCTATAAACTAAAACACACCAATCTAAAATTTCAATTCTAATATTAGTAACAACATCCTTTTACTTGTACAACAAAAGAATTGTGTATCCAGACAGCATTCTAAGGTTCAAAAAATCAAAGCTGCCCAAATTCTTAAACATCTATCCATGGTTAATCTATCGGGCAAAAAACATACTGATATTTAATCTTTGATTGCTGATTGTGCAAGCTAAGTCTTTCTTCAGCCATCTGGTCTACAACTTTGAGCTGGTTTTCTTCATACTCACGAATATTTTTCACCCCAACAGACTCTTCTTGTTGGCTCTTAATAACAATGAAGGCCATGAAATCATAAATTAAGACATAACTTTATTTCTCTGATGGCCATAAAGCAAAGAAGTTAATGGAAATTTGATTTACAATCTAAATTATCAAAAAGCAATTTTAAATAAACCTGACAAAATAAAAGAATGAGAATATCAACTTGCAGTACCTTTTTGCCATCACTTGTCTGGATCTCTATTTTATCACCATTAATTTTGTGCACTTCACTATCAAGCCAAGCTGCATTTGGATCCTCTAACCAAACCTGAGATCCTACAATTATGTTTACTGAAGTTCCCTGCCAAAGACAAGATAAATCGACACATTATTAGGTTGGCCTTTGTACTAGTATTTGATCTTTTTTCTTCTATGAATTAGTACTTCAAATTTGGCAAGATAAATCGACACATTATTAGGTTGGCCTTTGTACTAGTATTTGATCTTTTTTCTTCTATGAATTAGTACTTCAAATTACCTGCAAGGAGAAGGACTAGTGAAAACGACTGCAGCACTTCACTTCTATCCCCAAGGTGAAGCTAATTTCGATTTTTATAAACAGATCTCTCCTGCAATAAACACCATTCCTCACATTTTCAGGTTGACTTTTGAGTAAATGAACCGCCAAACAAGTTTAGAGTTGAAATATAACTCATTATGAGAACACTAAATGTGAACATTGAATAAAGATTTGCCAAATTTCAGGTAATAAAATATCCAATTTAAGATATAAAATAAAAATAAACATTGGACATGCTCTAGTAATTCAAGATCATATTGCTTAAATTATGATTAGAAGAGGCTCAAAATGTTGAAAGTCTCAGAATGTACATTATTAAACAATTCAGTAAGGGCGTTTCATTCAGGCATACCGTGACCAACTTTGTTTATTGAGAGATGCTTTGGCTGCTTTAAGTTGCCATCATCCCCAAATGCTTTCTCTGTAAATTATACAACTACCTTTTGAAAAACCCATCAGCCAAATCACAAGATACATACACAAAATAATCGACAACAAACCTTCAAAGAAAAATGAAACCTTCTCAGCACTTTCAAAGAAGTAATTGTCAGTCGTATTTTTCTGGAAAAAAAAAAAACCCAAAAAAGAAAAGGAGAATTTCAGGATATTTTGAGTTGAGTTTTTGCTATGGCGGTGTTAATTAGTCGAGAATAAGAGTTGACCTGATTCCTGGTGGAGAAAATTGAGGCGGTGGAAGAGCAATCGAACGTATCTAGCAACTCCTCCATTCTCTTCCTCATCGATTCTATCTCTTCTGCACTGCAAAATGATTCCAACACAAGATACCCTGATCATAGTTCCACTCACTGCATTAGTTCCAATGCTAATTTACATGTAATTGTTTGCATTACACACATACGTACCTACATACATACAGATATGTGTATATGCATATGAACAGAGATGTTAACCTTGCGAATTGAAGAATTGGAGTTGATCTGAACTGAGACTTCCAAGGATTCCCATGTCTGCGGCCTTTCTCCTGATTTTGGTCAAGAAATGTATTACTTGTATACCTTTATATACCAACTTGAGTGCTTTTATGAGTTTTATCCTCCATTTTTTTCCATGTGATATGCACAAACAAGTTTAGAGTTGGAATATAACTCATTATGAGAACACTAAATGTGAACATTGAATATACATTGAATAAATTGCAATTGTTCCAATTGCAAATGGTTGATACACCAGGGGAAGCACCCTAGAAGGATGGTATTTCTTAATGGCAAAACAACAACAACAAACAACAAACATAATACTCAGTAAAAAATCATACAACACTTAACCAAACATAAAGCTGGAGATTCATTTAGAAAGACAAAGGGATTCTCACGGGAAACAATTGATAATAGTAATCTCCTATTGTCAGTAAGCTACTCCAAGATACCAGAGTTCCAAGTCCAAGAATCCAACACACTACTATGGCACTCGGTTTTCCCTGCGATAAAAAAAAAAATCACATTAGAATATGTTAAATCCAAGTTAACCAAGTTGCAATCTGTTAAAAAGGTTAAAGCTAATAGGTGATCATTATTAGAATATAAAAAAGGTGCAACATGATCGAGCCCCTATGCTTTGTGCATACCTCTTGCAGCTGAGGCAAAACTTTTGCATCAGAAAATAAATCAACTATAATACCTGAAATAATTAGGTCAACAAAAGTAAGAAGCAGCGTATGGAACTTGATGAAAATGTACCTATCAGTGCATGCCTCCTCATATTTTTGTATGTTAGCACTCATTTATGAGTACCATAATATCAATCTAAAGCAGCCAGTTAGGAAAATGATCCCCACACATCAGTTAGAGATTCATGTGGCCTTTCAATTACTGTCAACAAGGAAAAAACACTTATATTCCAGCTTTAAAAAGTTGCTTTACTGCACAACAAGAAAACAGGAAAAGACAAGCTTATTCCAATCCAGGCAGATCAAGAAAAATATTTTGTTTCGCACCTTCAGGCTCACTAGTACTACTTGTAGCATCATTTTTTTATTGTCAAGATTCAAGAACAATGATCAGTATTTTAGAAATGTATCAGAACTGCAGTTTAATTCTTATACCAGAGCAGCAGAAATTGATTGAAAACAAGTCTTTTCATCCTCCCAGTCAATCTACCAAAGTGAAGAAAAATTAAAATACATCAACGGTAATATGAAGATAGGTTGGACACCCAATTTAGAAGTACTAGTGTTCAGGATAACAATGCCAAGAAAGCATATTTTGGCTCTTCTTATTCTGAACATGCCAATAAATAAATAATTATTGTAACAAGCAAATCTGATTTGTGCACTAGTAGCCTCTTGGTTCAAAAGGCTAACCTGTTTATTAAACATCAATACCTCTCTCTTTGTGGGGCGTACATTCACATCAACATGCTCAGGGGTAAAATGATTGACATATACACAAATGGTTTTGATGCTTTAGGCAATGTTGCACCATAAACTATTTCAATTGCCCTCTTGAGAACACCACAATCTACAAGTCTGTCTGGAAAAGAAAATAAAGAAACGAAAGATCTTCTTTAGGAAAAATTATAGTAGAGAAACAGTCTAGACTTCATAGACCATTCAATTTAACGAAACATAAGCAGAAAAACTGGAAAAAAAAAAAAGGCCATTGAGCTCCACTCTTTGGCCAAGAAAAAAAAACAAGAATGATTGTTTATTTAACTTAATAAGAGTGAAAATAGCAGTGAAAAACATGAGATAGGGTGCTAAGTAAAAGAATACGAATATCTACCAATAGCAAACCATCAAATGTATAAAACATATGTTGTATTGTTAATTTGTTCAATGATCAGAATAATAGTGCATACCATTGATGAAACATAAAATTACAAATGAAGAGAAAAGATTAAAAGTAATGGCCTAATAACTTTAGCCTCTCCTACCAAGAATAAAAACAACCATGAGGAAGTAATTTGTCCGGTAGCTGTAATGAAAAAATAGAAGAAAAAAAAACAAGAGAACGAAGAGTCAATACATTGCAGATTGCAATAGTATAGTTGTTTAGGAAATCTAAACAGTGCATAAATTTGAGTCCCTAGATATTTTTTTTTCATCTTAGGGTGCGTATAGTGTATACCTCAAGTCAACATTTCCATTTCATTTCTTCTTATTTTATGTTCAAAGGGAGATTTTCCACTAGAACATGCATGATGGATCTTTAGCTTCTTCCCATGAAAAGAAAAATAATTTAAATAAACAGGTAAAATGGAGAAACAGGAGAGACAAGAAAGATTCTTGGTGTAAAGTTTCTCTCTTTTTTTTTTTCATCAGCAAAATAAAAACTGTATATATAAGAAATTAACATAAATAATTAAGGGGTAGGGAAAAAACTTGATAAATAATGTATATATTACAAGAATGTCTAACATATACAATAACACACAACAAATCTAAACTAAAACAAACAATAAAATTTTTAAAATATATTACAAAATATAATAAATTAAAAACAAATAAAGAAAAAAGGAACTAACCTGCAGCGATGGATAGCTGCGGGGACGGCGGCTGGGAACAGAGCGGCGGGACGGTGGCTGGGAACGGAGCGGCGGGACGGCGGCTAGGACCGGAGCGGCGGGACGGCGGCTAGGACCGGAGCGGCGGGGACGGCGTGGACCAGTGCTGCGGCGATTGACGGCGACGATGGACACGGCAGTACGTGCGGATCGCGGAGGCGGAGGCGACCGGTGCGGCAGCGCTGGACGGGAAGATGGAGAGCGGGGGCGTCGGCGTCAGCTGGGGGCGGCGTCGGTGAACCAGACGAAGATCGAAGACAATGGTGCGTGTCTGATTTGCTAGGGCTTTTTTGATAAATAAATAAAAAAAAACGCGTCCAAAGTTTGACACTTTGGACGCGTGTTATGAATGTGCTTCTATTATTCGAGTCCAAAGTTTGACACTTTGGACGTCAATAATACGAGACTCCTAATATAGGCGTCCAAAGTACAGAGCTTTGGACGCCTATACTGTTTTAAAATTAAAATAAAAATAAAATTATTTATATAATGGCATTTTAATTACAAAAATGTCACCGCACTGCACTTTAGGCGTCCAAAGTTCTAACTTTGGACGCGAATTACTCAATTTTATTGAAATTTTTTGTACTAGTGGTATCATTAAATTATGTTAATATTCTGACAATAACATATTAATATTTTCAAAATATTATATAATGGTAAATATATCATTATATAATTATACTAGTATGATACCCATGCGATGCATGAGATGAATATTGTTCATCTTATTGTGTAATTGTGTGAAAAATTTAAGAGATGATGTAATATATAAAAAGTTGGAACGGAAATATAAAATGAAAAATAGAAACAATAAAGAAATTACTTTAACATACAATATAGAAAAATAAGAGTGACAAAATTACAATATATACCATGTTGGTTGTTGATGTATAGATCTATTATAATTTTCTGAGTACTTTTTAGTTGAATGTACGTAGACGTAGCAGCCTGGTTATCCTGGAACATATTGTTTATGTTATGCAACGTGTTGATGTAATTTTTCTAAATCTTATTACAGTTTCCTAACATTTCAGGCAACTATTGGGTTAATACAAAAGAGAAAACATAGGCGAACCACCATTTTCACCAAAAGATTAGTGGTTTTTAGTGCTAACAGTTTAATAAAAAGACATAGATCATTGACTACATGATAACTACAAAATATGTTCTACTATATTTATGTTTTTGAAATGAGAATGAAATACCTTTGTTTTGATGATAATGTTTCCTCTTTGACCGAATGGTGCATGAAGATGTAATCTTCCTCATGGTCTATAATCACAATGCTTACCCTTTATGTTTTGTGATGGAATGTTCTTAGTGTCTTCTGCCACCCTTTTGTTTGTAACTTCAATCATAAGTTAAGGCTCATTGAGAAAGGAGTCATTAATGGCTAACCATAATTATTCCCATAAACATAAACATTTTATGGGAAAACAAATATGCCTACTGGAGTAATTGATTTTGATTGGCTTAAAAATAAATGTTGCACTAAAAATAGATAGAAACCAAATAAATCCTCATGAATATTGTGTGTGTTTTAGCCTAGTAATTATCAATGGTAAATGATTAATGGAAATAAAATATGGAAAGTATTAATATTCTATATACTAAAATTATGTTGAATATTCTATATATATATATATATATATATATATATATATATATATATATATATATATATATTATGCAAGCTACTGTAATTTTTGTTCCATATATGAATTAAGTTTAACGAACTAAGGGTCCGTTTGGAAAGCAGGAAAATGACTTCTGGAAAATGTTTTCTGGAAAATGAGTCATTTTCCGGAAAACATTTTCCTTTTCAGTGTTTGGTTGCATTATGGAAAACTGTTTTTCTGTGTTTGGTTCATTTTCTGGAAAATGAGTAGAATTGTATAATTAAACATTTTAATTATTTTATTTAGAATATTACAACATGTATAATAATATATAATAATATAATATTAATTTTAAATATAATAAAAAATAGCTAAGTTTTTCAAAAAAAAAAAAAACTAATAATATATCAAAAATATTATGGTGGTGGTGGTGGTGGTGGTGTAGTGGTAGTGGTAGTGGTAGTGGTGTTATTCGTTATATAATAATAATAATAATAATAATAATAATAATAATAATAATAATAATAATAATAATAGTAATAATAATAATAATAATAATAATAATAATAATAATAATTGGTGGTGGTATGACGGTGGTGGTGTGGTGGCGGTGGTATGGTGGTGGTGGCGACGGTGGTAGTTGCGGTGGTATGGTCGTGGAGGTGGCGGCGGCGGCGGCGGTGTGATGGTGGTGGCGGTGGTTGCTGTGGTATGGTGGTGGCAGCGACGACGGTGGTTGCGGTAGTATGCTGGTAGTGGCGGTGACGGCGGTAGTGGTGTTTGTGTGATGGTGGTAGTAGTATGACGGTGGTGGCAGTGGTCGTGTTGTTGCGGTGGTGGTGGCGGCGACGGTGGTTGCGGTGGTATGGTGGTGGTGGTGGCGGTGGTGGTTGCGGTGGTATGGTGGTGGTGGTGGCGGCGGCGGCGGTGACGGTGGTGTGGTGGTGGTGGCGGTGGTATGGTGGTGATGGCGATGGCGGTGGTATGGTGGTAGTGGTGGCGGCGATGGTGGTTGTGGTGGTATGGTGGTGGTGGCGGTGGTAGCGGCGACAATGGTTGTAGTGGTATGGTGGTGGTGGTGGTGGTGGCGGCGACCGTGGTTGCGGTGGTATGGTGGCGGTGGTTGCGGTGGTATGGTGGTGATGGCGGTGGCGGTGGTATGGTGGTAGTGGTGGCGGCAACGGTGGTTGCGGTGGTATGGTGGTGGTGGTGGCGGCGGCGGTGGTGTGAAGGTGGTGGTGTGGTGGTGGTAGTGGTTGCGGTGTTGGTGGTGGTTGTGGTGGGGGTGTGATGGTGGCGGGGGTATAGTGGTGGTGGCAGCGGCAATAGTGGTGGTGATGGTGGTATGGTGTTGATGATGTTGGTGGTGGTGTGATGTTGGTGTAAAAGTTGGAAAATGACTTCCCCCAAAAAAAGGGGAAGTCATTTTCCTCCAAAACAAGCCTATTTTCCAAAGTCAACGGAAAATTATTTCCGTTGACTTGATTTTCCAGGCACATCCAAACACTGAAAACTTGGAAAATGATTTCCAGAACTCATTTTCCAGGTTTCCAAACACACCCTAAATTTGAAAATATTGCAAGCTACTGTATCTAATAATTATTATATATTTTGTTTAATTTTGCAATGAAATTAGAGATATATATAGACTAAAAAATAATCTATATTTATCTATACTAAAAGTGACGAATATACCTTAGAAACATGAAACACACACTCCAAAGTATGAGAATTGTAGGTATTATTGTTGAATGTTGACTCGTACATTCGGATTAGGCGACCTTGTATCGCACAATTCGTGGAGGTAGCAGTGATTTGGTTAAGTAGATTGAAGGTGGGAGCCATTGCATATTGAAAAGTTGAAAAGTTTAGCGTATGAAAATTGAAAAGTATAGGAAGAGGATTGCAAATGAATGAGAAGCATGACCAATGAGATATTTATAACTATGAATTTGTGCAAATGAATTATAAATGAATAATTTGCGTTCCAAATTATGTAATCAAGGGTGCAAATTAAGGATGATTTAATTTAATTATGAAATAATAAATACTAATACTAATAGCTGTTGCATGATTTTCGTGCATAGTAACAAATGAATAATAATTCCTGCATACTAAATACCATGAATTACACGTGCATACTAATTATAGTAATAATAATTCGTTAAGGCTAATAGGATGCATGATTCCGCGTTTCTGTATGTGAATAATTCGTTTTGTAAGGCTAATTCGTTATAGTGGTAGTATTATTATTATTATTATTATTATTATTATTATTATTATTATTATTATTATTATTATTATTATTATTATTATTATTATTATTATTATTATTATTATTATAAATAAATAAATATCATGCCCTTTAATAGACTATTTTTATATATGGTAATTAATTTCATAATTACAAATACAAATTACTAAATGTAGAGAGACTTTTGCGACATTTCAATCTGTTAAATAATTTTAAAATAATTTATTATATCATTTCAAACCTTTTAATAAGTTATTTTTAAATTAATATATATAATTAAATTATTCTACCCAATTATATATATCATTCATAAATCTGATCCAGATAACTATATATGATGTACGATATATATATATATATATATATATATATATATATATATATATATATATATATATATATATATATATATATATATATATATATATATATAATATTATCCTATTATACCTATATGTAATTCTGGAATTGACAGTTACATACGTTCATATGGAAATAATTATTATATAAGTAAATATTTTGCCTTTTAATAGACTATTTTTATATATAGTAATTAATTTCATATTTACAAATAAAAATACAATATGAAAAAGTAATGTAAATCTTTAATGTAAAAAATACACAGAATTGAATCATTGCATGCCCTTTGCCCAATTGAAACAAATTTCTCGAGATATGTTGTTGTTGCAAAGAACGCACCTCAGTTCGACTTCATTGCAATGTTGCCTAGGATCCACCCCACGAAGTCGCCACATTCCCATTGCACGCGTTTATAGATAGGGGAATCAGGCGCTCCCAGACCTCCCTAGTCTTCCAGCATTTCCTTATTACAATATGATCAGCATCTTCATCAACCTCGGGGCAGAAGACACATGTGCCATCAACAGGGAGAACTCTCTATTCACATTCCACAGGATGCGTTGATGGTAGAAGGGCGGTGTATTATGCCCTTCAATGGGCTTGGGATATAATAATAATAATAATAATAATAATAATAATAATAATAATAATAATAATAATAATAATAATAATAATAATAATAATAATAATAATAATAATAATAATTTTTATAAAGATATACACAATGTACGTAAATAAACGACTATACATATATATATATACACATTATTTTTCGTATGAATAAAACAAATATATATAAATTTTTTATTTTTAAACAAATATATACAGTTTATATATAGTTGTACACTTATTTCTTGAATCTAAATGAAATCAATAATAATTTTTTTTTAAGCAAAATATATTAACCGTATAATTCATAAATACTTTTTTTTTTAAGTATAAAAATATTTTTAAGTAATCAATTGAGTCATTTCATATGCCAAAACATTCAAT